ACACAGTGTTCAAAAAATACAAATACATATTGATTCACATTTCTCCATCTCCCTCCATAATTCATTAAAACTAAATTTTATAAAATAAGGTTTATTATACATAAAATTCAAATTAATAAGATTGATTACATTATTAATTAAAATGAATAGGAGATCACTTTTTTTAGCAAATCTTTTTGATCAGTATGTAACCCCCTGACTTCCCCTGAGTATAATGGCGAACCAACCAATGTCAGTACAGTGAATGAGTAAAATGTGAACCTTCTGCTCACAGTGAGCAGAAGAGGGAAAACGCCAAGAAAAGGGGGAGGTGATGTAGCATTTACTAGATTGTGATACTAGACAGCCAAACAGCTATGTGGGTGGCACCCCTTGCCCCCCTGCCCTGGGGTCTTAGGCTAAGGCAGAAGCCAGAGGGATGAAGCAGGAGCACAATAAGACTGATTTTTCAGGCATGTGAGGGGCATCCTCCCATCCACCCTTTATGTCCAAAGTCATCAAATTGACTAAGGGAGAGAACTGGTAGGGGAGTTACAATTCTAAATCCAAGATGTTTTTATTTTCCTGCACCCCTGCCACCAACGAATGCAACCTTTTATTTTTTGGCCGGGGCAGCTCCCTGCCTTCAAGCTCTCCTTCGGGGCTCTTCACGTATGTGTTCCAGGAGTGAGTCTTGGGTCAGGTCTCCAGAGGCCAGCCCTGAGGGGAGGATTCTCATACCAGAGATTTGTGAAGACAGTACTCGCAGGGGACACTGGAAGGGAAGGGGGAGTAGGACAGGGCAGGGGTGAAGTCAAACAAGGATGCAATTTCAGGCCAAGTCCCGCAGCCTGCTTCCCCCAGGGGACTCTGGAAGATAAGTTCGCCCTCACCCTCACTTCCGGCAAGGGAGCATTCATGGCACTGCCTCCCTTAGTCATTGGCTAAGGGCCACCTGAGAGCATCAATTCCAAAGTGCTCAGACTCACTTCAGAGTGGACAAGGGGCTCCAGGAGCCCGATGGCGGTCCTCCAAGGGCTAACTGAGAGTTCAGGCTGCTTGGAAGGAAAACACACTGGAGAAAGGGCAAAGGGGATGGAACAGGAGGCCAGGAGATCCAGAGATGCACAGTCTATCTAATGGCATGTGCAGACATCCGGATTCAGCACACAGGCCGTCCCTGCGACCATACTCACCTGGATGTCTATGTTCCCAGGAGAGGCCTGGCAATCTCCCACCTGCTCTTTGAATAATCGCTCATCCGTTCCATGCTGGCCTCCAGGACACTCCTGGAGTTTTCAACTCTCTTTCCCTTTCCCCATCAAGCGAACGGGCAAAGAAGGATCAGCCTGCCTTTATTACCATCCTCAGATTACCAACATCAGCGTTTATTCAGTCAAGATCCAAAACACCTAACACATTGAATAAGCTCCTGTTCACACCCAGAATTGTTACAAAACTCCTTCGTAAGTATTGCTCTCTCCTCGGCCCCCTGATAGACCAGATGCCTGGGAAAGTGAGAGTGACTGCCTCCTAGTTCTGTTTGAAGCAGTAACATCTCCTATCACATGACCACCAACACCTGAAAAGGCCAGATGGCAGGAAGTTCCAAGACAACACAGCCTCATATATCAGCCCTGCAGTCACTCAGTGACCCTCCTGTTGAATCACAGCACCCACAGGGGTGGTGTCTGTGCATGGGAGAATCAAAGTTTTACTATAAGGGTCACCAAACCAGGGCCCGTAGGCCAAATCCCCCCGCCACCTGCTTTTGTCAATGAAGTTTTACTGGAACACAGCCGTGCACATTCGTTCATGTATCGTCTATAGCTGTTTGCATGTTGCGATGGCAAAGGAAATAGTTGTGGCAGAGACTGAATACCTGCAAAGCCTAAAATGTTTAACATCTCATCCTTTATAGAAAAAGTTTGCTGATCCTTGTTATACCAGGTCTGGCAGCACTCATAACAAATATTCAAGAAATTTATAAACTTTGTGTGTACTTTCTCAACCTGTGGCTCATCTAAGTCTTGAGAGAGGAGTGCATAAGAATCCGGTAGGAGAGATGTCACATGAAACAAGTCAGATCTTCAAAGCATAGGCATGACAGAGCAGCAGCTTTGCCAATAGACCAGCAGGAGAGAATCGGACACCCAGGAGGCTTCAGGGGGTAAAAGGTGCTCATATTACCACCAAAGTGCATGTCATCTAAATGTCCTCCTTGACAATATCAAGATGGCGGGCTTCTGAAGCTCAGGGGTTATGGACGTGGTCTGGCCCAGAATGGGGTTCTCTCTCCAGAAATGAATCTTGAAAGGAAGGAAGGAAAGAAAGATTGAAGAGAGGAGAGAAAGAGGAAAGGAGGAAGGGAGAGCTAGAGGGTAAGAAAAGAAGCAGGAGAGAAAGAGTAAAAATGGAATCCCACTGTGTTTGCTGCCTTGCTGTTCCCACAGTCCTAACACTGATCCACAGGGCTCAGTCGCAGTCGCACCCAGCCCAAAAGAGCCCAGAACCGTGCAAGAGCCTCTCCCCATTTTCTTCTCTAACTTCTCATCAAAAGGCCATATAATTTTCAGCCATGCTTTCTCAAAGCTCCCCTTTTACTGTCCCACATCCTCAGCCCTGTCACGCGGCAGCTGCAGTCTGGCTCTCTGGGCCATCTCCTCCATCCCCAAGCCCTGCCTGTGCCCGTCCCTCCTCCATCCTGGCTAACAGGAGGCTCCTAGAAACGTTGGGAAGAGAGCAGACCCGGCACAAGTCAGAGTGCTACCTACGGGCAAGGGCAAGGTGATGGACAGCCTCTATGCCTGACAGCTGGCTTTTACACAAGCAAATTCCACCAGAACTAAATGGCCAATAGAATAGACACCGGGGACAGACTTCTAGGAATGTGTGACTAAGAGAGACTGAACTTAATCTCTCTGTGCCTCAATTTTCCCATCCATAAAATGGGAATGACAACAAGATCCATCTGTCATATAGGTTTGTTATAAGATTAAATGAGTGAATTCCCATAAAGTACTTAGATCTTTACCATGCACATTAATCTCCATGCAAATGTTTGTTCAATAAAATCTAATCTTTGCAGGCTACCAGATCTTAGCCCTGAGGTCAGGACTGCTGGAGTGGAAAGCATATAAAATCTAAAATGATCTTTTTAAATGTAGTAAAATATTGCAAAGCCAGTGGTATCTTCAAACAAAAAAATGTCCAAGGGAAAAAATAGAATGCTAAAATATAGTAAAATTTAACAGAGTGTATTAATGGCATCATTTTTAAGCTTACTAAGAAGCAGATATGCTCTAAAAGAATCAGGACTGGTTTTTAAAATCAAGGATGTGCCCACGTCCCATGAATGCTGCTGTGTTTCTAACACAAAGGTGGATGCTGAGAGCCTGCTTATGAGGCATGTGCACACCAGTTAAGCGCATGTCCCTATTCAAATGCCTGGTCCCCGAGCTGGCTTCCACTGCTGGGAAATATCTGGAGCTGGGGAAGGCACTAGTGGATGCTAAGTGGTGCCATGTGCAAAGGTTAGATATTAACTATTAATGAGCAGGCTATTACTCACCAATATTAGCAATTAGTGAACATTGCCTAGCTGCTTAAGACCCTGCAATGACTTCCAAGTGCACACCTCAGCATGTACCCTAAGCCTGCCGTGATCTGCCAAAAACTTCTCTCTCTATCTCATCTCTTCCCACTCTTTGCCCCCCTAGTTGACTTGTACTTCAAATATGCTGAGCTCATTCCTTCCCCAGGACCTTTGCACACACTGCTCTCTAAGCAGGGAGCTCCTTTCCCCCTTTCTCCCTTTTCCCTATGTTAACCACCTCATCATAAGGTTCCAGCCTTCCCTGACTCCTCTTCCTGTCACAGGTGCCCTGTACTATTGTCCAAGCCCTTTGCTTATTACCTTTAACTTACTGCAATTTGTAACTATAAATTTTCTTAACTATTTTTTTTAATTTCTGCTACTGTCTATCCTGCCCCACTAAAATGCATCTTCCATAAGAGAGAGTATCATGTCTTATGATAGACAGTTTGTTCTTGGTTATAATCATGAGCACCTACTATAGCGTCTGACAAGTGGTAAATACTTGGTGAATGAATGAATGAATGAACGAATGAATGAATGAATGAATGAACGAACAAACAGTTCAAAGGGAGTCATAGCAAACAGACCTGAGGTCAATTCCTACATTCCAACTCTGTCTAGGGCCATGTCTCCATGTCTTGAGCTAATAACATAAGAAGTGATTAGAACAGAGCTCAGTACCTGATGCCCATGCAATAAGTGGTTATTATTATTGTTACTAAAAATAGTGTTGGGGGTTCTATTACTATGTCTCAATGTCCCCCACTAGGACATAGAAAAAAATAATCTGGTCTCACCTGTCTCTGTGGACTATCCCTAAGTAAGCAAATGACAGTAACTCACTTTGGCAAGGGCATAAATCTCTTATCTAGAAGAGCTCCAACACCTCACCCCAAAGGCCTCACACTGTGGCAGAGGCTGTGTTCAAATGCCAGGAGGGCATGTGGAAGATGCAGCTCCCTGCACATTACAGCAGACAGGCAGCCTCAACGCTGGCAAAGCGGGGGGACCAGCCCACACAGCATATGGACCTGCAGCGGAGCATATGGGTCTGGTCCTAGGAAAGGGGCCCCCATATGCTCCCTGAGCTGGGCCCACCTTGCCCATTCCCAGCCTCCCCACACTTTTGGCTGGTTCATAAATCAGCCACTTCTCACTATCCCAGCGCACTGGCTTATCCGTGAGTGATTAATGTACACATTTGCCTGCGGCCTGGAGAGAACCCCAGGTACAGGTGGAGAGGAAGGAAAAATACTTAATTGGAGTGTGGGGGAGGAGGAGGGAAGGGGAGGTCATTCCTCATTGCCACGGAGCCAGTCTATCTTTAGAAGTCCTGGCTTTGTAAGAATGAGGTTTCCTGGAAACCGGTCTTACAGATTGCTCAGGAACCCCACTGTGGCCTGGGATATTGCCCGCACCTTACCTATGAAGACTCAGAAAGATGATTGCTGCATTCCATCCTGTCCCCCACTCCACGATCCTCCCAGGCCTCTTCGGAGCGTAAACCTGCATTCATATCCCCTAAGAAGCCAACAGCCCAGGGTCCCTGGAGACGGGGAGACTCTATGTGCCAGGCAGCAAATCCACTCAACTGTGTTTTAGATCAACATTTGCCAACTGTGCTCAACAGAGGGCAAAGGGTTTTATGCAGTTACCATGGGGAGGACAGGCTCCAGGGCCCCAGAACTTGTTTAATAAGAGAAATTTAGCTTTGCGTTTGTTTCACGTTAGGCTGTTCATATATGACTTAGTTTTAATTTGGTTAAGGATCACGTGGCTCACAAAAGTTGAGGCCCACAAGAATTAAAAATGCTGCAGATACAGTGAGGCATGTTTCCTTTAAAAAGCACAGGAATAAAATTAACAGTGGTTGTGGTTCGTGGGGCAGGAGGTTAGGCGGCACCATAATTAACAGTAGATGCTCTAGGACATTTTTCCATTTGGTGGCTGAGTGACCTTGGGCAACAAACTTTCCTTCCTAAGCCTCAACTTCTTCATCTATGAAATGGGGATATTAAGTGGTACCTTAATAAGATTAATCCATTCACTGAACTTGCACGATGTCTGGAACATAATAACTAATACATACTTGTTATTATTTTTCTTCTTATTCTGTGGGTCTCTCACTGCACTGAACACATTATTTGCATTATCTCTAGTTCTCATACCTCTCTTACATGAAGGTTTATTCCAATTTTATTGATTAGGAACCTGAAGGTAAGACCTTGCTCTTGAGTGATGGTCCCAGAACATCTATCTACTCACATGATGGAGAACATTGTTGTTCTGGGGAGCCCAGTCTGAGAATCATCCACCTAGCTGCTCTGTTTATTCATATTTCCCTGAAAGCACCATGCAATTATATGTGGTTAGGCTTGCTGCTCACTTTTCTTGCATTTATTCTTCTCTGTGCATCTATCCATCTGTCCACAAACTAACCACCCAATTCAACATTTAATGAATGCCTACATAGTATCAAGAACTTAAGAGAAGTCACTTCACTTCTCTGAAGACCAAAGTTCCCTTCAGTCAAATGGGAGAGTTAAGATGAGACATAGTATAAGATTCTTATATAAAATGAAATAAGTTAGCTAAAGAGGCTTTCAACCTCCAAAGTGCTCTCTCAGTATTTTGGAATAGAGCGATACATCTCAGCGTGCTTAGACATTCCTGGTGTAGTTGTTAGTAGCATCCCTTTTATTTTCAAAGAGTCCCATTAGTAGGGTAAACTCTAGTGATGAAAATGGTAATTATGACGATGTATATTTACATTGACTTGCCTAGAAGGAGGGCTACTTGTCCCTCTGCTGTTGTGAGATCAGGTTAGGGACAATAATGGCTCTGAGTATGTTTTGAATTATGGGCCACTCTCCTCTGTAAGGAATCCAGAAAAAGCCCAACCTTAAAGGGTGACCAGGTTTGAGAGATGAATGTGTAGCAATGATTAGGGTAGAAGTGGGAGGGGGTTGGGATGGACTGTCTGTGGAATTTGATTTTTTATTTACTTGCCAACGTTGAAACTGTAGGGAATAAGAAATGATTTTGTTTTGTAATTACTGTTCAGCAATTAAATGGAAGAACTCTCTCAAAGTAACTGCATGGGTTTAGAACATGCTTTTGCACTGCCGTGAGTCTTAGTCATTATTCTGCCATTAACTGGCCCTGACACTTTGGAGAAGTGACTTAATCCTCTGAGATATTTAACTCCCTCATCTTAATGAGATTATAAGACTTGCCTTCCTGGGTTCTCCAGAGTTGTACATTCTTATAGGGATATATCAGTTAACATCTGCTATGTAACAAACCATTCCATAATTTCCTGGTTTAAAAACAACCATTCTATGTATCTCATATCTGTGGTTGGGCTGGGCTACCGGTCTAGGGCCAGCTTGGGATTGGGCAGGAGCTGGCTGATCTAGGATGGAAGGGCCTCATCCACATGTCTGGCTGCATCCCAGCCAGGCTGTTCACTAGGCTGCCTCAGTTCCCCTTTATGTGGCCTCTCATTCCCCAGCAGGCTAACTCAGGCTTATAGTTGATGGTATCAGGCTTCCAAGCACAAAAGAATAAGCCCCGTGCTTACTGTACTGAACACTTTCTTCTATTGTCTTTAGTCTATTGTTTGCAGGTAGTATTTAGATGAAGAATCTGAAAATAAGGCCGTACAGATCTTTCAAGTTTCTGCTTGAGTCACATTTACTAATATCTCATTGGTCAAAACAAGTCACACCCAGATTAAAGAGATGGAAAATGGACTCCGCTTTTCAAGGGGAGCACAGCAACCTCACATTACAAGGGCTTGGGAGCAGGGAGGGAAAGAATCTGTGACCATGTTTACAACCTAACACAGAGACAAGGGAGATGTCTGGAGAAACTTCGTATGAACCAGTGTAACCTGGTATTAGAAAAACCATGTCTCTTGAATAGAAGAGCCCCCTCCAGAGCATTCTGGGGATCCCACAAGAAAGTGTTTCCCGTGCATTAAAGGACACCATCAGCTACTATATCTGCAAATGTATTCCTCTTCTCTGGCTCTGTCCTCTACCCCACATCATTTTTTTTACTGTCCTCAGTGACTACTAATTCCCACTGACCCCCAGTGTTTCTATCAATAGTATGGGCACTCTGCCAGACATGATAATGTCTCTCCCAGGACCTCCCATCTATCCCTGGCCCCATGAGACCAGACATTGTTATCCTGGGTTCCCAGGCTGACAAAGCTTCCAAAGTGGGAGAAAATGCCCCCCCCTCCACCACCATTCTCCTTTCATTGCCAGCCACTTTCAGAGGAGCCCCACAGTGACTTTACTTGGGTCCCTGCATCTCCTGGAATTTTCTAGTAAAGCAATTGTTTTTTTCCTTACTCATCATAGGTTCTCAATACAAGATTACAGAAAGATGAGCTGGGAGATAAATCTAAGGCACTAACATCAGGTTGTACTCTCAAATAATTTCCCCACTCATAATTCCTAAGGGTTTTATGGGGCAAAGCTTGATCAACCTGATATTCTCTTTCTAGGGAATAAGCTCACTCCCAGGAGGTTCCTCAGAATCTCATTCAAATAGATTTGAGTAGGTTTCTCTGTTCTGTAAAACATAGTATTTAAGAACACAGGCTCTGGGAGCAGTTAGAGATGAACCTAACTCCAGGTTGGGCTCCTTACTAACTGTGATCTAAGAGCAAACTGTGAGCCCTTCTAAGCCTCACTTTCTCCATCTGTGAAACGGAGATAAGAAACTCACCAATCTATTAGGATTACCATGATGGCTATATTACACAGTGCCATAAATGCTTGGAACAATGTAGTGGAACAATAAATGTAATCTCTATTTTTAATGTCTTCATTGTTATCATTCTAATCATGAGTTCTAGCTGACCTCCTGCTAGGAGAGGATAAGAGGATCCTGTGAAAGGCAAAATAAATGTAAGTGTTTCTCTCTGTCTGCGGCCTACCCTGAAGCCTAAAAGTAAGCTCTTATCAATAACTCAGATTTCACTGCATCAAGGCACAATATCTGCTTCCTCTGTCCTTCAGCTGGAAGTCCATTTTGTGGGGGAGTTAAGCTGTTCCCATCCATCTACATATTTCAGTTTGTATGTTTGCATAACAGCCTGTTAGGAGAGTGTTGGTAACAATAAAGATAAAAAAATGTATTTAGGAAGAATGTGGGTGAGTGTGTCTAGATGCGTGGGTGTTTTTAAAAGTCTGTATCAGTGAACTCCTGATTCAGGGTATGTCTGTGCTGAGGTCAAAGGCTGTCTCACGCAAGCCTTGTTAGGGGAGCGACTGGTGGAAAGCCAGACCTGGATTAGCCCAAATGGATGCAGAGGGAGGCTGAGAATCAGGCCTCCTGCCCACTCAGCAGTTCTTGGCACTGGCCCCATCTTAGCTCTCTAATGCCATTTCTGCATTAGACGCTGCAAACACAATTGACTTCTATTACTTATAAAGCCAACCACTTTACCTCATTGAAATGTTTAGGATGGACTTCAGAGATTGCTGAGAGCCTGGATGGGACAATCAGCCCCAACCAGTCCGTTGCTCCAGCTACCACTCAGACTGCATAACAAGAGAAGAATATTCCTTCATTGTACATTCAGCATCCAGTCTCCATTAGCAGATGGTTTCAAAGATTGTTATTTCTGCATTCAAAGAACATCCCAAAATATTCTGTTCTTGTTATTTATGTACTGGGGTCCATATTCAATGCACCATCTCTATACAAGATCCAGGAATATAAAGGCAGGTCCTTTATCAAAGAAACCTTCAGGATACTCACAGTCTATGAGAAATAGAGAGGCAAGGAAATAGGAATGCCATAATGGTACCTATGTTGTGATGATCACCAAAAAAATAAAATAAAATGGTCTTGCAACTCGGCAAAGCAGGTAAGAGTGGATCAAGAACAGCTTCAGAGTTAAGGATATGTTCAAACTAAATTCTGAAGGGCCTTAGTATTTGTGTGTGTTTTTTATTTAGGAGAAACATGGGATGAAGAATGTTCTAGCAGAAAAATGTTGGAGAAGAGATATAGATGTTGACTTTAGACAGATCTTTGGTTAAATTCCACAACTATTTACTGGACCTTGGGTGGTTTTTCATCATCCTGAACCTAAGCTGCCTCCTCTATAAACGGGGCTTGGGGGGATTTATCCTGTAGACAAGTTCCTTGCTGAGGGTCCTAAGCCAAGGAGAGATGATGGCCAGGTTGGGTTCCAAGAGATGTCATTAATGATGAGGGTAAGGGTGCTGAGCACACACACCATCACAGTCAGCAAGGCAAACACGGTCCCAGCCTCACCTCGGCCACCAGTCTGAGTTTGCGGAGTCAATGCTCCTGAGCCTTGGCCCAGAGCTACTCACACCTATCACCTTCCAGAAGCTCTCCAAGTGACCCCCACCCCCAATTCTGTTTTTCTGAAATCCTGTGCTCTGCACTGAAGGGCGCACACCAGAACCAATGTGTTCATGGACAATTTATAACATTCCTAACTTTCTCCAGGAGTGG